TAACTTAACAGTTTTTTACTAAAGTAGGGTAAAAACGCCATTTTTTCTGCAATGCTTCCAACATCAGATTTTTGTAAATTATCTGTGATAGTTTGTATCACAGGATTTTTAACGGACATTTTCTGTGATCTATCAAAATTTTTTTATAGAAAATACTGTTTAACATTTCCTATCTCGATTACTATGGAGCATATCCTGCGATATTTTCTAACACAGAATTTTTCTGAAAAAAAAAAAAATCATGTCACATTTTCTATTTCAATTACATACGGACCTCGCTGACAAAAGGAAAAAATCATTTTTTTTCGAAAATTGACAGTGGGGTCTCCTGCGTTCTCTCTCTCTTGACTTCTTCTTCTTCTTCGTTATAGGATGTAAATGGCAACGAAGCATGAAAGAGGAGGCATCACTACTTAAAACATGCTGTGCCAAGCATCATCGATCCATATACAGGCCCATAAACGGAGGAACATTAACAATATCACCACCACTCGTAGGAATGCTGTGAAGTCCGCCACTTTACAGACATCTATTCAGCAAGGCACCCAATACACATTGCCGGTCGGTCACACTGCGAGCAGAAACAACAACAACAACGTCCATTTAAAACAATCACAACACTTTGTTTATGTGTGTTTTAGTAACAAAGTTGGATGGTGACTCCTGGCCGATGGCTGGTTGTCCCTCAGCTGCTGCTACTACTTTCTGTTGGTGTAAACTGTAATTTTCGTTAGTGCTAAGAAAGAAATCACTTTTCTTTTTTTTCTCACTCCATTTGTTGTAGTCGTTGTTGTTTTGTCGAGTATTTATTTGTTTAATGTTTATTTTGATGATATGCGCATTTTGTTTCGGAGGACTCGCACAGAGACAGGGAGAGAGAAAAAAAAACTATTTTTATAAAACATTCAATTGCTGCTGAAGATTCAGTGGCTGTCGAAAGATGTGTGGTGCGGTAGCTTCTTTTGGGGGAACTTCATTTGTTTGTTGTTTTTTTTTTGTGTTTGGTATACGGGTGGCATTCAAACAGGGAGACCAATGGCCGGTCTAAATCAACACCCATAGTTTAGCATTCAAAAAAATATTGCGGCGATTTTTTACAATGCCGATGCAGTTGCCTGCCTGCTGGCCAGCCAACCACCCTGTCTGTCCCCACCACGTACTTGGCACTTGTCCGCTCATTTTACGCAGCTACTTTATGCCTTTTACTCTAATGACCAACCATTTAAATGAAGATCAATGAACTTTCAATTAGTTTTGAAAGTAAAAAAAGAAAATATAAGATTGGTGGAAGGAGCATAGAGGGAGGAGTTGTGAAATCAACCGATTCAGCAGTCAAGGGTGCTGGAGTTAATATATAAAAAAATATAACTAAATTAAGGTTATATATCAAAAACCAAAAATACCAATTTGTTGATAGGAAATATCACAGATAATATTTTTAAAAATTAATACAATAAATTATTAAATTGAATGAAAAGAAATAAAAAAAATTTGCTCCGAAATTTTCACTCTAAAGCCGACTTTTTGAATCGTAAAAATCTTTTAATTAAATTTTTGTTAATAAATCTATGATTTACATTCCCTGAAATGCACCACTTGTGTTATAGGAGTATTTCAATCAAATATTCCTTTATATCCTGATTTTGAGTTTTGAAAATTCTTTAAAAGAAAGAAAATACGTTTTAGGTATTTTCGATCAAAATTGCAATTGCGAAAGTCCTTCCAAAAGAATTATTAAAAAATATTATCCCGCCTTAAATTGTAAATGATCTCCAATATTCCATTTTCTCGAAAAGTAACATCTAAAAAATACAAGAGTTGGGTTTTAAAAGTCGTTAAGAATTTTTTCTTCGAAAATCAAAGATTTCAATTTTGAAAATTAATGTTTTGAGTCATAAAAATCCAAATTATGAATGTTTAAAAGCACAAAAAATACTTTAAAGTATTATATTATATGACACCGACTTCAGGTGAAAAAATCCTTTAAAAATTTCCTAAAAAATAAAGATTTCAAGAATATTTCTTAAAAATAACCACGTTTATAAGCATCCATTTTTTGTGGGTTCCTAAAAATATTACTTAAAAAATATTCAGGTTTTTTATTTTTTAACAGCAAGTGTTTTTGATAAAATTATTTACGTTTTTAGATCTATAAGCCATTGAGCAATTATTTTTTATTACACATCTCTCGAACTCTAGCCTGTTGTGAGTATATTTTTTAGACATCCTTTACTTGAGTTGTTAGGACCTTCATGAAAACATGACATATAAAGTCCTTGAAGAAAATATTCCTTTGTAATATCCATGTTTCCTCATGTGAACGTCTTTCAGAACGTATTATTTTACATCTGAAATCTGAAAGTCATTCCTTGCAAATATCCAGGTTTTTGATTTGAAAGTTCTTGAAAAAAATATTACTTGAAAATATACCCGCATCTGGATCTGAAAGTCATTGAAGAAAATATTCCTTGAAAATATCCATATTATATTGAAATATCCTTGAAATTGTTTTTTAAATAAACGTCATTCGATGAAAAAGATTTTCAAGAAAATATTTTTTTTTCAAAATCCATCATTCTCCATTATGAAAATATTTCTCGAAGCCTTTAAAGAAAATTTCCCCTAAAATCGACGATTCGAGAATTATTTCTTCAAAACCTACGATTTGAGCAGTAGAATTTCTTTCAAAAACATCCAATTTACTGGATCAGAAAGTCATCCGAAAAATTATTCCCTAAGAATATCCATCCATTTTGAATTGAAAAATCTTTGAATGAAACATTTCCTCGTTTCTTGATCAATTTATGGAAGTATTCTTTAAAACGTTTACGTTCAGATTTTTATATTCTCAGACATATGGCTACAGGGGGTATACATCATTTGATACGGCCAAAACGTGCCTCATCAAAATAATGGTTTTAGACTCTAGGTCTGTTTGGATCAAATCTGTTTCAGGACATTTGGATTCGGCGATGTCCGTCCGTCCGTCTGTCTGTCTGTCTGGCTGGTGCGCACGATAACTTTCGAAGGGAGTATCCGATTTGATCAAAACTTGGTACATTATTGTCAAACTTAGTTCGAGTTCGGAGATGGGTAACATTTCAAAGAAAATAATTTTTTGCACAAAAAGAGAACGGATAATCCGATTTATATCCAACTTTGCAAATCCTAATATTTGCATCAGGTGCGAAAACGGACGATATTGGTTCACTCCATCAAGTACCTCCCCCACAATGGGTCAAAATTTTGTATAATTACAACTCTTATAACATGTGATGTTAGAGTCCGATTGTCTTCAAATTTTATACATTACAATAATTTTATTTACCCAAGGTCTCGTGTCAAGATGGAATATATCAATCCATTCCTTCTGGTACCTCACCCACAAAGGGTCGGAATTTTGAATATTCTAAAACGCGAAATTAACATCCAATTCCATTCAGACTTGGCACATCTCAATATTTCTATCAGCACAAGATCTGTTTTAAAGACGGTAGAGATCGGACCATTCCTTCTGGTTACTCCTTCACAAAGGTCAAAGTTTTGACATGATAGTCCAACGGATTGGTATCCGGAGATTTTGGTGGCCATTGTGCGCTGGAAATGAAGCGAGGAACCTCATTTCCATTCTTGGGTGGTGCGTGCTGATTGCGATGGTGCTCCTGTCCTGTTGGAATGTCCAAGGTGTGCGGCCAAAATGCTTGCGTGCCCAAGACTTTAATACACCCTCCAGAATATTTTCGTGATTATTTCGGCATTTGGCATCATCGGAGAAAACCAAATTCGTCAGTTCACCACTTTCGGCCAAGCGAAGCAACTCTTTAGCTCTTTTGAGTCCATTTTTTTGTTGCGGTGTAAGTTCTTGGACTTCTTGGAATTTCAATGGCTTTACGCCGAGCTCATTTTTCAATATTTGCCGAATGGAATATTGCAATATGTTCAGCTCACGGGCCATTTTTCGGCCACTGCAACGCGGGTTTCGATCAAGTCGCTTCTTTACTTTTCGAACCATTTCTCCTGATGTTGCTGTTTTCTTCCGTCCACTTCCTACGCTACCAGTGTCACGGTAACGGGCGATGATACGAAACATAAAAGATTTATTCACATTTAAATGCTGGAGTGCTCTAACGATAGCCACCTGTGGTTTTCCAGCCAAATATAAAGAAATCACACTATCCCGCTTGAATTCCATCACGAATAACTTTTTTTCTGGAAAATTCTCACTAAAATGCTTTTGTACGCTTGTAAGCAATATAATGAGCTGTCACTGGAATAATTTAAACAGCTGTCGAACGAGTGGCTTAGAAATGACAGCAGTCTGAAGTTGGTTGCAATTTTTTCATCTCATCCTGCACTAATATTTTTATTTGTATTGGATGAAGTATGAAAATGATCGAATATATTTGTTACCTCAGGCACATTTTAACATTTTCTAAAAATTATCACATACCTCTATCAGTAGTGAAGGAAGTAGTCGATATAGTCTAAACCTGGCACGTCTCAAAATTTATATCATATTTATTTAGGTCCGATACGAAATGGATAATATTGGCACATTCCTTCGGAATCTAATCCATAGAGGGTCAACAATTTGAAAAATCATAACAGAAGGTTAAATATATTTGAACAATCGAACATTGGCTAGGGGCATACATACATCTGTCGGCTAAAACGACGGATTTTATTAACTTGGTTTCTTTCAAATTTAAAATTCCTAATTTCTTAAGATAGAGGGTCAAAAACAATTTTTACTTTCCTGAACTCCGATTGGCTGAGGGTATACATCTGTCGGCAATACCGACTGATTCTTTTCAACTTGTTTTCAATCTTTTTGATAATGCAAAGGTAGTTTGTATACATTACCTAGTAATGTGTGAGTGGGTTTTTTTCTGGGAGAACCAAAAATTCATAATTGTTGATTTTGTTAACCTATTTTTTTAAGTTTATTTCAAAATTTCATTTAATAATTGTTGTTGTTTCATTCTTCTTCTCTCTTTCAGGTATGTTTCCCCTCCATTCTCTTTATGTGAAATGTTTGTAAATACATAAGTGACGGTAAGTGGATTATTTTAATTATCCATAATTAGTGTGTGTGGTGTATTTTATCTTTCTGCGACCGAATGTGCTTGCCTCTCGTACTTCCTTTCACAGCATTCCATTTAGTAGACCATATCCTCTACCTCCTCTCAAAACAAAAAAAAAACTATGTCAAAACGAAGTTTTGACCCAAATATCTATTCTGTCATGGTAAATAAAGCGACCGCATTTCTTTCTATTGGTTTTATTCAAGTCCGCTCCCCACCTGATCATGTTTGGATGTCGGTTGGAGGTTCTGTTTTTGTGTCACAAATTTCTGGAATGATTTTTAACACTTAACACTCTTAGTTTTACAAACACACACATCTGCGCACAGATACATACTCAATGCTTTTCAATTAACACTACATAATTGTTACACTTTAACAAAAGTTAAACGCGACAAAAAGCAAGTAACAGCTTGTTAGTCTCCTCATTCTGCCCCCTCTCTCTCTCTTCTTCCTTTGTAGCTGGAGTTGTTGGAATTCTAACAACTTTTGCGTATTAATTTGCAATGTTATTTTTTTTTTTAGCAATTTCATGTGTGGAGATGCCATGAAGTGAAAAGAACCAAGTCAAGATGGTACAAAAAAAAAATCAGTAAAGAAAGTCTAATGTCAGGCGGACCGGCTTGATGATACCCTACACCCCTTTTAATATTTAGTAGAGCTTAATATAACAAATAAAAAATTAACAAGTTAAAAAGCAGTAACTTCGGCCGAACTTTGAATACCCTCCACCATTTGGAACTAATTTGGAAATTTTCAAAAAATAAAATCCTTAAAAAATTCTGTTAAAATTTAAAAAATACCGAATATAGCCGTTATATTGGGGTCTATATGACGTGGACCTACATAGGCATTGTTTGTCATAAGCCATTACCATATTCAAATTCGAAACTTGAAATAAACGGTGAATAATTTAGATAAAATCATCAAAATATAGGATATAGGGAGGTACCGTTATATTGGAGCTGTGCGAATACCTGGACCAGCATAGACAATTTTCTGTCACAGTCTATAGCATCCATTACGAACGTCAAATACGACATTTTAAACAATTTCGGTGGGTATTGTACCTAAACTCGTCAAAATACCGAATATAGGGAGGTACTGGTAAATGGGACCTATACGAAGACCTGGACCTGCATAGACAATTTTCTGTCACAGACTGTAGTTCCCATTACGAACTCTAAATACGTAATTTGAAACAATTCCAGTGAATAATGACGCTAAAATCATAAAAATACCGAATTTTTAGAGGTATTGTTATATGGGGGTTATACGAAGACGTGGGCCTGCACAGATAATTTTATGTCATAGGCTGTAGTATCCATTTCGAACTTCAAATACCAAATTTGAAAAAATTCCGGTAAATAATGTCGCTAAAATAATCAAAATACCGAATATCGGGAGGGACCGTTATATGGGGGCTATATGAAAACGTGGACCTACATGGCCCATTTACGAACTTAACCGGAAAAATAAACACGTGTGCAAAATTTTAGCCTTCAATCTCAATTCGTTCGAAAGATAGCGTGATTACAACAGACAAACGAATAGACAGACAGACGGACAGACAGACAGACAGGCGGACATGGCTAAATCGTCTTAGAATTTTAAGCTGATTAAGAATATATATACTTTGTTGGATTTGAAATAAGTATTTCGAGGAGTTACAAACGGCAAAGTTTATATACCCTCCATAGTATGGTGGAGGGTATAAAAATGTAACAAATCGAATCGAATAGATCTGAACCGATTTTCAATTCTTTTTTCAAATTTGACATACTTGATTTCAGGCTCAATTAAATCGTAAGTGCCAAATCCCATCCCATTTGGGCTAGTATTACACGTTTGTTGACCAATAAAATGCAAATCGGACGAAGATATATATGGGAGCTGCAATATCCAAATCTGAACCGATAACGATAAAATTTGGGAAAGGTATTTCTGTGCTTTATTTCATATATTTCCCTGAATATCGTTGTTACGGAGTGCATATTACGGCTGTGGGTAACAAATACAACAAATCGGAGGAACAATATATATGGAGCTATAGCTATTTCTGAATCGATCTTCACCAAATTTGACATACTAGCTTCTAGACTCAATTCGGTCGTAAGTGCCAAATTTCATCCAATTTGGCCAAATATTAGACACAATAAAAGGTAAATCGGACGAAGTTATATATGGGAGGTATATCCAAACCTGAACCGATCGCGATAAAATTTAGCAAAGGTATTTCTGAGCTGTATTTGATATATTTTCACAAAAATTGTTGTTACAGAGTGCATACTACGACTGCGGAGGACAAAAATACTAAATCGGAAGAACAACATATATGGCAGCTATAGCTATATCTGAACCGATTTCGATCAAATTTGACATACTAGCTTCTAGACTCAATTCGGTCATAAGTGCCAAATTCCATCCCATTTGACGTGGATATTCGACGTTTGGTGCGCAATAAACGAAAAATCCGACGAAGATATTTAAAAAAACCATGTCTAAATTTTGTCCGATTATCTCCAATTTCAATAGGGTTCGTCTTTGGGTCAAATAACTGACTTGTGCAAAATTTCATATGGATCGGGCAATAAATGCGACCTGTACATTGTTTACAAAAATACATGGACAGACGGACGGACGGACATGCATAAATCGACTCAGAACGCGATTCTTTGCCGATCATCAAAAGGAACTATGGGTCTATCTCGTTTCCTTTTGCCTGTTACAAACGAAAGCACAAAGACAAAATACCCTGACCATCTTCTGGTGTAGGGTATAAAAACATATCGGCAAAATTAAGTGCCTATCTCTGTGTGCGTGTGTGTGTGTGTATGTGTGTGTGTTTGTTGTTTTACAATATCTTGATATTGATGATCATTATCATTGTTAAACAACATGTTGTTAATGTTATTGTACATGATTGTTGTTTTTGTTGTTGTTAATGTTGTCTTTTAATGGTTAAGTGGGTCATCGCCGTCGTCGTTTTTTGTTGTTGTTGTTTTGTTTCTTTCTTCTTAACAATTATTGTTCCTACATCTTGTGTTTTCCAACAGAAAAAGTTGTTTGGCTGTTTTTTGTTTTTTTTTTTTTTTTCAGAAAAATTACCAGCATTTGAAGTCGTACTTTTGTTCTGTGCATCGTACCCACATCCTCCATTACTGCTCCATTGCCATGGCATGCCATGGAGTAAGACAACAAAGAAAAGAGAAATGTTGTTGCCCATCACAAAAAAAAAGAAAAAAATCGTAGAATATCAATGGTCAAATGAGTCAAGTTTAAAGCCATCATTTGTTGTACGAAGCTACGACGGGGGTTAAAAGAGTTGTTGCCTCTCTTACCCTCCTCGCCTCCCGCTGCCAGGAATTGTAAAGACTCAAGCCAATCATTCTCTTGACTTTTTAGTTCAAAGAATTTCTAATAAAATTGGGTCATTAGTTGGTTGGTTGGTCGGTTTGTTGGTTGGCTGGCTGAAGTTCAGAGTGGGATGTTTGATTTGATGGCTGAGGAAAGGGTTTCCTACGAAAGTTGCGCTGGTAATTGCAACTCTTTGTGGGCTGCATTGCCAAAGATTAATGAAGTCATGACAAAGCGCTAAAATGTTGTCTGTAATTTGGGTTGATTACTGACATGATTTCGAGACTCGCTTTCGCTTATGACCGGCAAATGGAATCCTGATTGAATTGGACCAAAAAAAAAAGTTGAGATATCAGCAAAGAGGAGGTACTGAATTTGAGCTATCGCATACATTCAAGAGAACATCTCAGCAAAAGTTCGAAACGCGGTTTTCCCTTCGGCTAAGAAGAGTAGATGTCTCCGAATCCTGGGGGTGTTAATCAAATGTTTTTATACCAGGTTTGTCCACCTTTAGGTATACATATAACAGTACCTCCCTATTTTCGGTATTTTAAATTGAATTTCCAACAAAATTTGTTGAAACTTGACAATTGGGGTTCTAGGTATGGCCGCTTTCTCCTAACAAAAAACTTTTGATTCAGGTCCACCAATTGGTATAGCCCCCATACAACGGTACATTTTGATTTTCTGTGTTTTTAAGGTTTCTGCTGCAATTTCCAACCAAATCAGCTGAAACTTTACATTTGAGGTTCTTGAAAGTTCTAATTGTTATAGCCCCCATTTTTTGAAAATTTCTGCCAAAATTTGCAACTAAATTAGCTGAAATTTTACATTTGCTGTTCTTGAAAGGTATGTTCTCTCCTTGCGGAAAATGGTCGTTTAAGTTCCGCTAATTGGTATAGCCCCCACACAATGGTATTTTGAAGGCTTCTGCTACAATTTTCAACCAAATTAGATGAATGTTGACAATTGGGGTTATTGAAAGGTATGTTCTCTCCTTGCGGAAATGTTCGTTTAAGGTCCACTAATTGGTATAGCCGCTACGTAACGGTACCTTACAATATTCTGTATTTTGAAGGTTTCTGTCACAATTTCTAACCAAATCGGCTGAAACTTTACATTTAAGGTTCTTGAAAGGTCTCTTCCTTCCTTGCAAAAAATGTTCGATTTAGGTTCACTACGGTATCTTCCGATTTTCGTTGTTTTGAAGTTTTCTGCCACAATTTCCAACCAAATTAGATGAAACTTGTCATTTTGGATTCTTGAAAGGTCTCTTACTTCCTTGCGAAAAATGTTTGATTTAGGTTTGCTAATTGGTATAGCCCCCATATAACGGTACCTCCTGATTTTCAGTACTTTAAACGCTTCTGCCCCCATTTCCAACCAAATCAGATGAAACTTCACTTTTGGGGCTCTTAAAAATTCTGTCTGTTCTTTCCTGCACAAATATTCCCCACAGGTCCACTAATTGGTATAACCCCCATATAACTGTACCTCCCGATTTTCGGAACTTTGAAGATGTATGCCACAATTTTCAAGCAAATCTGCTGAAACTTTACATTCGGGCTTGGTATGTCTGTTCTCTCCTTGCTAACGATATTCAATTCAGGTCCA